ATTAAAATCTGTGACCGCCATTTTTTCTACCCATTATAGTCCTAACTCTCTTGGGCTCTTATTAGTATAGTAGATATATATATATTAGTTTTTTACGCGCAGTGTGCGATTGGGATAATGCCCAATGTTTTTCTTAAATAAGTATTTTAAAGTATATAAAGGCAAGATTATATTAGAATTGTTCATACACAAATAATTGAATGTTGAATTTGCGTATTTAAATTGGGTAATTCTAAGTTTACTAATGCAAGATAATTAGGGCCGTTCCTGGCCATGCCGGACTGGCGCCACCGCACAGGGCCCCCAATTTTCGGGGCCCAATTTTTTTAAAAAATATTATAGATATAGTCTATTATATTTTATAATTGATCATTTTTATTTTTTTTAATTCATAGATTGGTCTTAATTGTAATTGAAAATAAAACTTTAGAATGAATTGACATTGAAATTTTGGTGAATAATTTTATTTTTAAATATGGAAGAAAAATGGCACTATTAAATTAACTTTTGAATTGTATTCTTTCTTTGTTAAATTTTTATGCATTATATTTGGACAAATAATTGTAATTACATTTTTATTTTTGTTATAGAATTCAAATGAATTTGGACTCAATTACATAGAGATTTTCTAGATCTTCTAAACATCTATTTTCAATTTAGGTCTTTGGAGATTATGTTTCTTACCTTTATAAACAGAAAACTCTATCATTATAGAGAAATTTAAGTATTAAAAAAATCTTTCTCCCTATGTTTTTGTCTACCTATTATTATCTTTGTTTATTTACTCTATTATATTTAGGTTGCATCTCGTAACAAAAACAATGAAGGTCTAAATTAAATAATTAAACAGGGCCCCTATATTTAATGGAACGGCCTTGAAGATAATATAGTCAAGATTGATTATAATTGTCAATAAAATAATTGTATGGGTATGGTTGAAACCAAATACGGACATAAGGGAGAGCAAATAAAAATTAAATCATAAAATATTAAATATATACTAATATTGTTTGAGAAGATTCCGGCACGTAGAATTTGTGGTTAGAGTTCAATTAAGACTTTAATATTAGAATTAGATTAATGTTGTAGTTATAATTCTATATTAGACTTTAATATTATAATTAGACTAACCGTCATTTTTTCTACCCGGTGTTAAAAATTAAAATCTGAACAATCTGAACTATTCATTTGATTTAATAATTTGACGGTCATTTTTTCTACCCAATGTTTATAATTAAATAAATATTTAAAAGTATATAAATGCAAGATTATATATGAGAAGTTCAACATAAGTAATTTAATGTATAATTTGTTTATTTAAATATGTAATTCATAGTATATGAATACAATGCAATATAAGAGATTCATTATAATTGTTACTAAACTTTTTTTAAATAGTAACCAAGTATTTTTGTTGCAAAGGGTTCTAATATATTTAATGAATGCACATATATACAAGATCAATGAATGAATCAACGGTACCCGTCCTTTAGGTGTTTTGATCCGTGTTCATTTAGTTCAACCATTATCGTTGAATAAATTATTATGGATAAAGAAATTCCTAATTTAGAAAATTTAGATGTAGTAAAAATTTAAAATTTTTTAATTATAATGTAACCAAAGATATTGGACGATTGGTAACCCAAAGATCAAAATGCTAAAGAACGTGTTTTGGTTATTCAACAGTTTGAAGCAACAATTTGTTCCAAACCACTGAAAATACAAACATTGCAATTTATAATATTTTCACTTAACGTTTTTGAGAATGATTTTCCCAAAAAAAAAAAAATCTATATTTTTTAAAAAAAAAAAATTACTATTAAAACAATTATTATTATTATTATTATTATTATTATTATTATTATTATTATTATTATATGTATACTGTTAGGTCATTTTAAATGTTAATTTAAACAGTTAATTTTTTCAAATATCTTTTTCCAACCGTTGATATAATTCGCTGGTCAAATCCGCTAACGCTAACCGCTAACTGCTGATTGTCAAACAAGGACATTGCGAAGTAGTTTCTCACTTTAATTTGTTGTGTGATTTGAATACTCTCTTTGTCAACAAATCCGTTAAGTAATTAATATAATTGGCTTTATTAATTTAAATTTTTTAAATTTTTTCATCGTATTAATAAAATACTTGGTAAATAAATATATAGCATTATTTTGTATTATAACTTTGATATTTAATTAAAAATAGTGCACAAAAAAGATAATAGACAATGTAGTGAATATAATCAATTGATGAATTTGAATGTAAAGAATTTTTACATTGGAGAAAAATAGAGACAATATAACAAATGAAATTATTTCTCTTAATTAATTTATTGATAATGAATATTTTTTTTAATAAAGACATTGTAGGGACAATATAGCGAATATAATCAATTGATGAATTTGAATTTTGAATGTAAAGAATTTTTATATTGGAGAAAAATAAAGACAATATATATAACTAATGAAATTATTTCTCTTATTTAATTTATTGATAATGAATAATTTTTTTTGACTAAAGACATTGTAGACACATAATTCTAAATTAAAGAAATGCATATATATTATTTTTTGTTGTAGCTACTAAATTATTATTTAATTTAATAAGAGTAAAATAGAGTACTAATTATGCCAAGTTTGATTGGGATGTGGTTCGAACCTAAGATCTTTCTTATTGAAATCAATGAGTAAGTTAACTGTGAACTAACAAAAATTAACGGAAAAGATAATATTTAACAGAAAAGTTAACGGATAATCATATTCATTAAGGATAAATTAGGGAATCTCAAGGAAAAATTAAAAAAAAAAAAAAAAAATCTGATCAATCTGAACTATTCATTTGATTAAAAAATTTGACCGCCATTTTTCTATCTATTATAGACATAATTCTCCTGGGCTCTTATTAGTATAGTAGATATATAATATATAGTAGATATAAACTGAAATTTTGGAAATTGGCAAATGCTTTGGCAAATAAATGTATAAGTATAAAAATATATTTGGTCTTGGTGGATCATGGATGTGTACCTTGGACAGGTGTGAGCTAGTAAACTCACAGAAAGGTTATTCTCATTATTACATATCGGTGTGAGTCGGATAGTTAATTTCCACAGACAAGGTTTTGGGAGCCTCATATTCATACCCGTGTGAAGCTATTTCTACTCATTGGGCTAGAAAACCATTTATGAGGGTATGCATATTTAAGGATTGAGACTCGTGGGGGTGGTTTTGGGATCTCAAATAAGGTTTCTTGATGGACATTTTCCTCCTCCATGACTTGGTGGTATATGGTGGTAAAATCATGGAAATATTTGATAATTGTCTTTTAAATCATCTTTTTCAATATTAAAATATAGCATTTTTCATACATTTATTCCGATATACTCTCTAAATTAGATTCTTAATCTTTTTTGAAAGCAAACCAATGGGGTTTTTATTATAGATAAACTGAAATAGAGTCAAGTGGGATTGTGTCCCAAGCAGTAGCATAATCAAAAGCTGTAGAAGCTAAAGTGTGAGCTAAATAGATCTGCGATCTAGGAATAAATTTAACCAAACAGTATTGAAAAGTAGATATGTTAGCTTTGCAACCATCAATAGCATAACCAATATACGAACGAAACGGAGCACCTACGGAAGATAGATAACTCTGAAGTGTATGACAATCCGTATAAAGCTCTATAGATTGTTCTCCACGGGCCCTTAGCAATGACAAGGCCTCTTTGCATACAACCGACTCGGCCATAAGTGGAGAGAAACAACTCTAGATGGGGGCGTTGTAGGCCGAAATATAACCATTTTCGCTGCCGTGGTCGTGTTCGTTGCATGGTGATACCGCGTCGACGTAGCATGCTCTCGACCGAATAGCAGCAACATGGTCCATGGCAGTAGGTAGCAGCGCTGGTGGCGATGCAGCTTTGGCAGTAGCGACATGGTTAGTGTTTACGGCCGGCAGTAAATCGGCAGTAACTGGATGCACTCGGAGCCATGCGTGCATGGTGGCTGTAGCGGCGGCAATTAACTTCTTTGGCATTGGTAAGCAGGCATCCCAAACCGCTCCATTCCGCGCCCTCCAAATATGATATAGAATCGCAGTTGCATAGATAATTCCATTAGAGTTTAAAATATTGAAGACTGCACTAAACCAAACATGAAAAACATTTGTCATAATATTGGAAAGTGTAAGGTTGGATTTAGCCCAAAATACTAATGAGTGCATAGTGTCTTCATGGATGATACCACACATGGCACAAATAGGATCAACCTCTACACTCTTAGCAAATTGTTAGTAGTGGGAAGAATATCACTTCTCTCAATAAAAAGATCTTCTATTTGTGTAAAACTTTAAACTTTTATATGGTAAGTCATTTATCAAAAGCACCACCATCACTATTATTCAATTATTTTTATAAAATGTTAATCACCACCCTCATCCAAGTTCCGGGCTGCCTCATCCATGCTTTACCTTTTTCCGTATGGGAACACGGTTTATTTCACAATTTTAAAAAAATTGTTTTTTCGCTATCAATGAGTTGTTCTGATGTCTTTCCATAAATATAAGGATAAATATAGCCACGGTGTAAATCACAATCACAATAACTAATGGTAAGGAAGCATGATAAGGAAACTGAGTTGTTATAAAATTGACAAGGGTGGTCACACACCTCCACTAAAATTGAACTAACATACATATCAAGCCCATTCCACTTTTGATAGAGAGGTCAGTGTGAAAACAAGACAACATCAGTCACGTGTTGTGACAAAGTTAGTTTTTAGATTCCAAGAATGACAAAGTTAGTTTTTAGATTCCAAGAACTTTTGCAACCGGAGAAGCAACTATCGACCATACATTCAAAACAAAATACAACTATCGACCATACATTCAAAACAAAATATACATACACATCATAATTAAAGCTCGATAGAAAATTTTGTTCCCAACAATATAAACACCAGTGCACAAAACCTTGTTAAAGGTGAAGGCACAAAACCTTGTTAAAGGTGAAGGTGACGATCTCCACAAATTGAGTATTACCTAGTCATTCAATATAATTCCACTAACATATCAGCAGTTCAAAATTTCCATCGAATAAAATGTCAACAAACAAATTGAGCATATGCACTACAAAACTCCAAGAAAAAACATATCCACAGTGAAGAAAATGGTTTTTAGCCCAAAACAAAAAACGCAATCTATACTACTACTAGGCACCACCACCGCTAAACTTGACCTTAGAAAAGTCCACCACCAACCACCACCAAAACCAAAATAAGCACTCAGCTAAACTTGGCCTTGGAAAAGTCCATTTCTGGATGCTGCAATGTTCAGAGTAAATCAAGGTCAATAAATTCCAATTGCACACCCTCTACCACATAAATAAATACATAAATAAATAACCTCTACCACATAAATAAATACATAAATAAATAAATAAATAAATAAATTCCAATTGCAAACCCTCTACCACATAAATAAATAAATAAATAAATAAATAAATAAATAAATATATATATATATATATATATAAGAGTTACGTTCCCACCTCAGCCATGAATTTCTTCAGGATATCTTGTTTCTGCACTTCGTCACTTGTAGGAAGACCCATGGATTTCTGTCGCTGATCAAACTGAACAAAAGCAATTTCATAGATTAAAAACACTAGTTCCTAGTTAACTAATCAAGCAACCAAAAGGATCATAAAACAATTCAAAGCATAAGCAATTAACCAGCATAATCCTAAATTATAAAGAAAGTAATATAATCAAAAGTATACTCAATTAGAAAACTACATAATATTCACTCCCTAGTGTGGCATTATAATTTATAAGTTCATATTTATATTTTTTATAAAAAAAAAAACTTTGTATTTTCATTGCGTAAATGTGAATTAAGTTAAGCCAACAATAAGTTTATAAAGAGTCCACATAATTTAATAATTTAATGATAATAATAATAATCTAATACATTGATAACACATGTTGCTGACATAAGTGTTGATGACATTGTGTAATGAAGCAAAGAAAGAATCTACGTATAATACACTAGTCATAAAAGTCCGTCATACTTGAATACTACTAAGTCTGTAGTCTACAACGTCTAGTTTCTTATTATTTCCTATCTTATTTTGAAACTAATGAACATAAATCAGGGCTCAAATTACTAATGGAAAACACATTTTACATTCAATCCAATGCAAAGTTTCTTCATTTCTTCATTTGTCGTTAACATGCCCCTTTTTGCATGCAAACACAAAGCAATGCAGTTTTCTTTAAGGCCTTTAAACCTTCTCCATTATCTGTCAGGATTTTTTTTTAAAGACTACTTTACCAATAGGAACATTTATTCAAATCACATCCCCACTCTATCCCTTATGACCTAGCTCTGGTTCCATCAGAGACATTTACTTGCTTGTATAGCACAAACTTCATGAGTTTGATTTAGCAAATGAAACATATTGTATGTGCATTTCTCCTGTGTGCAAATGTCTAACCCTTATGACCTAACTCTGGTCCCATCAGAGACGTTTACATCGCAGAAACTCCATGTGTTTGGTTTAACAAATGTATTGTGTGCAAGAACAATAAACAGGACACATGAGAATTGAAAATCTTACCATCATTTTTTCCACTGTTGACCTTGTCTCAGGGTCTAGATCCGATAGTTTACTGCTTTCTGGTTCTACCTTCTGGGTATCAATTTCAGGCTCACCCTTCACCAAAAATTTCCACCATTCCATTTGATCACTCTTGGTTAGGAGCACAGAGATGGATTTTTGGTCCTCTGCAAAAACATGAGCAATATGCAATGAGTTGTCACCATATGATTTAGAATAAGGCACACAATTATAGTATAAAAAAATATACACATTTCCAGTAGTTATGCACTTATGCCCACTATTGCCAAGACTTACCCAGGCTCCAAAAGCAATCATCAACCTTGACAGGCTTGTAGAGTTCAGCCTGGAAATAAAAGTAAACAAATATTAAAACTGATCCAAACAATTAGTTTCAAGGGCACAACTGTAATAACTGAAAACAGTTGGATTACTTACATCAATTACTGGTGGCTGACCCTTAAGTCCAACTTTAAGATGGTTCTTTTTTATATTACATTCGATAAACCTAGACTTTGTTCCAGGAGGTACTGGAATAGTGATAGTGACCTCCTGAAGGCTTTGAACCCAAGAGTAATTATCCATATCAAGGCCATTTCCTTTGTTAGGAGCTGTTGACATATCAAATGGAAAGCATAATAGGATGGTATTAGTATACAACTTGAATTAAGGACAGGAGAACAATGCATTTGAGGGTTGAAAAGTTGAAATACAACCAGAGAAACAGCCAACATTTATAAAACAAGAAAAAGTATTGAAGCAGTGACCAAAGTCGAAAGACCAAATTCAAAATTGATAACTAAAAGCAGATATACCATTATAGTCAATGAACCTAAAGTGGACTCAATCTTTTGATAGGTGATATCGTGACATCAAAACATAATACTACAGACTTGCATTAACAGTCAAATTTTAGCATTTAAGCATTATGGTTTCCCCACTAGAGAATTATGGAAACTGCAATGCATTTATGGGAGATAATCATGGATGAAGTATCCATTTGACCTTTCATTTAATAGGAAGTATAAAAAATCTCTTCAGCAATTACACAAACGTAAATTCATCATACATCAGCAATTAATCATAACCGATTAGTAATCTTCTTCACTTAAAACTACACATCAGAACTTGCATAGCAGCTAACTCTCTATCCTTCTAGTTCCATATTCACCTGTCTTAACCATTACTGGGGTGCCACAATGTGTGCCCCAGTCCAGAAAATCAAGAATTAAATCAATTAATCCCAGATCCATATCAAACTTGAGACTCAAAAGCAATCTATTCATCTCATGCTCACCCTCCAACCATTGGGCCAATCTCTAATAATTTTGTCTTTGTTCCTACATCTCCATTTAATTTAGGACACAATATATGAAACTGCCATTAGAAAACTATGGTCCATAAAAACATTACAAACACAAACAGATGGGAATGCATTGTTCAAACCATATATTAACGAAGTTAGGGATAACCCTGGTGCGCTAAAGATCAGATATACAAAGAGGCACATCCATGCTTGCAAATACAACAATGGTGCAAAGACGTTCATACAAAGTGACACGTTTATATATATTTAATAAAATTAAAAGAAGACCAATACAAATAAATTTTAAAAACCAAAATACTAGTAAAGAACCAATACCTCGAGGTCCCTTTTTGTCACCCTCCGTAGTTCCCTCCGTAGTTCCGGTAGTCTTATCAGCCTCAGCTTCCACCTCCTTCACCGGAACAGCAGGTGCGGCGGCGGCGGCGATCGGCGGCTCCTTCATCTTCTTCTCAATGTTCCCATTCGCGGCCTTCTCTTTCTCCTTCCGCTTTCGGTCCTCGGTGTCGACCTTGTCCTTGACCATCCGAACCACCGCATTCACATCGTTGATCAACGAATCGCTGTTGAACAAATCAGACTCGCGCGCCAGGAACTCCAACGCCGTCTCGAGAAATCCAAGCGGATTAGCTGGATCAAGAGAGGCCTTAAACGGCTTCGCTGCGGCAGCTGAAGAAGTAGACGTATTAGTTTCCGGCTCCTCGTACTCGGAAAGAATTGCCATGGAATCTGTAGCAAGTACTGAGTCTAGGGTTTTGCGTGGTTTGAAAGAGGACTTGAAGGAAGTATGTAAAGTGTCAAATATGAAGAGTATATGGAGAATTCCAGAAGATCACAAACCGCTAGAATTGCACATATGCTCCCTGAACGTTTTAAAAATATCACAACTCATCATTTTTCCAATTATAACACAATTTTTATTTCTTTAATCAATATCTATACACAAAAACAAAATCCTCAATTTAACTCCCCGCCCAAAATTCTCAAATTTTAATATATTATTTTCTACTTTCCTATTCGTAGTATAATTCTATCCTCAAATTTTAATATATTATTTTCTACTTTCCTATTCGTAGTATAATTCTATCCTCAAATTTTAATATATTATTTCCTACTTTCCTATTCGTAGTATAATTCTATCTTTAATATATTATTTTCTACTTTCATATTCGTACTATAATTCTACATTAAAATTTCATTCTAATATTGTAAAATAGTGTAATATAATTCCTAATAAAATATATTATTTCCTACTTTTCTCTTCGTACTATAGATCTATATTAAAATTCCTATTCCTAATACAATAGGACAATATTAACACACTATTAAATACTCAGTGCGTGATAAATAAATCTGACAGTACAAATACTAGAAATATAAAGTAACATATATTATCATATATTATAATTATTGTTAATTTTATTGATTTTTTGAAATCAATTAATTTTATCGTTACTATAACATATATATAATATACTAGTATTTTTTTATGCGCGATACGCAAAAAATAGGTGCCCAATATTAATACATTATATTAAAATTTTAAATTTATTTAGATTTTAGATATTTAAATTATTCTAAATAATAATAATAATGTAAATTATTTTTATAAATTTGATATTTACATTTATGTAATAATTAACATATACCTCAAATATTTAATGTGTATATATTATTATTAATGAAGAAGATAAGAAAATATATGGTGGATGCATGTGCATGGTAACAATAGTGGAAAAGATAACGGAAGTTATAACGATAGGGGTATGTTTGTCCAAAATATTTTAATGTACAACATTTATAGCATAATGTACAAAAAAACTTAACAGAAAAAACGGACATAAATCAGGGGTATAACTTTCATTCACACTTATTATGTTTTTAGATATAAGAGTTTTTTCCCAAAATGGTCCCTCGACTATTGCTTATTCTCAATTTTGCATTTCGACTTTTAATTGCACCCAATGTGGTCCCTTGACTTTTAAAAACTCCCCCAAATTGGTCCTCCGTTAGAAATTCCATCTATTGAGTGTTAAAATGAAGGGCATTTTCGTCCATTCACCTATTATATGCCTAATATACTCTGAAAAATAGTCGAGGGATCATTTTGAGAAAAACTCATTTTTTTATTTCCATTTTTTAACACTATCAAATTAGAATTTCTATACATTTTTTTTCTTACAAATATAAATAGTTAAAATTCACAATCAAATCTCAAAATTTTAAACGTTCTCTACAATATTTTTCCTTTTGTCTAAAAGTACAAATTTTTCCCCTATCCCTATCAAGTTTTACAATAAATTTCATATCATTCATAAATACTCATATATATATATATATATATATATATATTTTTGAAAATATATATATATATAATCATATTAAAACTTCAAAAGACAATCAATCACTATGTATTACATTAAATATTATTTTTATAGTTAAAATAAAATTATTATTTTTTTACGTACTTTGGTAAACAAGTTTAAATTTCAAATTTAAGTTTATTAACATTCATATATAAAACACAAACAAACTTCAAAATGACAATAACTTGTAATATTGGTAAATGATGAGACTTTAGGTTTAGAATTGTTTGTTTTGTGCTAATTATTTTTGCATTTGGTTTATTTTACTTGTCCTTTAAGACATAAAATTGATAGCCATAGTTCTAGACTCTCTTTAACATGATGTAGTACTTCTGGGTAGATAGGCATTTGGAAATGGTAGCTATGGTTTGTACTAACTTTGGAATTAAACTAATGGCCTTACAGGCTAAGTTAAGCCAACTTTCTAAAAATATTTTCTAAGATTTTGTCATTGACCGAGAAGTGACGCGTACTTCTTAGTTCGAAGAAGTGCCAGAGCATAGCGATTGATTGTAAAAATAATAATTTTATTTTCAAAAGGCATAGTGACCGAGAAGTGAAGAGTACATTTTGGGTGTCTAAACTGATAAAAATAGTAATGTTATTTTCAATGGTAAAAATAATATTTAATATGATACATAGTGATTGATTGTATCAGGACTATGTGGTCTAATGGTACCCGGGTTGGACTTCTATTTGGAAAGTTGTGAGTTTGAGCTTTAGTGGAGGCGTTATTAGCTCTTTGTGTTTCAGTAATATGAAAAGTTTGTATGTTTAGACATGAGTATTATATTTTTGAAATTTACAGAACTTGTTGTAAAACTTGATAGGATTAGAGGAAAAGTTTGTATGTTTAGACAGAAGGAACAAATTTGTATAGAAAGTTTAAAATTTTGAAGTTTGATTGTGGATTTTAACTATTGATATTTGTAAAAAAAAAAAAAAATGTATAGAAACTCTAATTTGATAGTCTTACAAAAATGGAAATAAACAAAAAAATGAAATAAATAAATGAGTTTTTCTCAAAATGATCCCTCGACTATTCCCAAAATGGTCCCTTGACTATTTTTTCAGAATATATTAGGCATATAATAGGTAAATGGACGAAAATTCCCTTCATTTTAACACTCAATGGACGGAATTTCTAACGGAGGACCAATTTGGGGGAGTTTTTAAAAGTCAAGGGACCACATTGGGTGCAATTAAAAGTTGAAATGCAAAATTGAGAATGAGTAATAGTCGGGGGACCATTTTGGGAAAAAACTCTATATATAATATTTGAATATGTCAGTCAGAAAGTGATGATTGAGTAGTAAAATAGTCAAACATAATATTAGCAATACAACAATATTAAAATTCATGTTTCTATTCAACTCTATAAAAGTCTATATAAAAACATTCATAAACTTTTTATCAACTTTTTATTTTAAAAAGTTTACAAAAGTCATTAAAATTCTAAATTGAATACATTTTTACAAACTTTCAATGATTTTGATTCTTATCATGTATACTAGTTTTTTTTACGCGCTTTGCGCGAATGTGATAATGTCCAATGGTTATTTTTAAATAAGGGTATTTCAAAGTATATCAATGCAATATTATATAGAAGATGTTCATGCATAGGTAAATAAATGTTGAATTTGTTTATTTAAATTGGTAATTTAAAGTATATAAATGCAATATAATATAAGAGAGATTGATTATATATAATTGTCACAAAAATAAATGTTTGCAACTTTGTAATAACGATAATCTAAGTACTTAATTAGTCTAAAAGCGATAGTCTAAATAAATACTATTTTTAGTTAAAATTTTTCTAATTATCTTTTTGGTAGCATTGTCATTGTCTTCATCTTCAATACATGTATTTCTTTTTTTCTTTTTTTTTTTTTTGTTATTAGTAGTGTGTCATGTACAATTGGGTTATTAGTGGTAGCATAGAGGGATTCATCATGCAATAAAATTATGGTGTAGGAAGCTTTAGATTTGCCTTGTTGTGTATATGATTGGGATCTTAGTTGTGCTATGAACTATTTATCTTACAAGCACATGTCGATATTTGATAGTGGTAGTTTTCCGCTACATGTTTCATGTGTTGTGAGATGTGTGTCGTAGGTTATCATGTGAAAGTATTGACAAAATGTTAATATTTATTATATTTGTATAAAATACTTGGTAAATATATATAACATATTTTGTATTATAACTTTGATATTTTTTTTAAGGAGATAACTTTGATATTTAATTACAAGATAATGTAAAAAGAATACAATAGACAATGTAGTGAATATAATAGATTAATAAATTTGAAGGTAAGTAATTTTTGAATTGTAGAACATAAAGATAATATAACTAATGAAATTATATCAATTTTTAAATTTTTTATAATGAATAATTCTTTTTAAATAGAGGCATCATAGACATCTAATTCTAAATTAATTAAATACATATATATTATTTTTTGTTGTAGCTATTAATTTATTTTTTAATTTAATAAGAGCAGTAAAGTGGCGTACATACTTTTGATCCACAATAATGAAATCAATGATTTTTTTAATTTCCATTCGTTGTTGAGACAAATTGTTTTGAGAGTTTGTCAATGACAATTGTTGTCAATAGAGAATGATAATAAATAATTCAAAATATAAGGTTACAATATATTGTATGTTATAATTATAATAATATAGTAAAAATTAACTTACAAATTTCTTTAGGAGTTTTTATGCATTGATAAAAGCATAATTGAAATATTAAGTTTTGTTATCAATAATCAAAAGAATATTAATTAAACGGAAAAAAAAAACTTAACTTAATTTTTTTTTAATGAAAAAAATCAAATAATTTTCAAAGTTCTTGATTTATAATCATTGAATGCTATATACTTAGTCTGACTAATTATTTAACCAAAGTTTATGTTAAATTTTATATATTTTCAATACATTTTAACATATTTGTAGTATATGTTTAAGAATTATGCTAACTCTAATTGAGATGGGGTTCGAACATAAGACCTTTTCTTATAGAAATTAATAAGTTAAGAATAATAAATAGTTAACGGAATATTAAGTTAATAAAGTTTATACTAACGGAATTTAAAGAAAGAAAATAATATAATAAATGGTAAATAAGGAAAACCATTATAAATACTAAAATCAAAATTATATGAACCATTCATTTTAAGAAACAATTACAACCGACTTTATTTTTATTCCAGTTAAGAGCCTAACATTGTGGGCTCTTATTAGAATACTAGTTTTTTTACGCGGTTTGCGCGAATGAGATAATGCTCAATGATTATTTTTAAATAAGTATTTTAAAGTATATCAATGCAATATTATATATGAGATGTTTATGCATAGGTAAATAAATGTTGAATTTGTTTATTTAAATCGGTAATTTAAAGTATATAAATTGAAAATAATATATGAGAGATTGATTATAATTGTCACTAAAATAAATGTTTGCAATTTTGT